TTCAACAGAGAGCATTTTTTTGTCCTCCTACTTATGGATAAATCATGACGTGTTTAATATGAAATCACCCATCAGATTCACAGCTTCAGTTTTAGAACTGACATTATCTACAGTCATTAACCATGTCTTTATTTGTTCAGATTGGGGCTAATTAGCATGGCAACTTCAGCACACGGGCTAATGTGACATTCAAGGCACAATAATAGCATGGCATCATTTCCTGTCCAAGCTCTCCAATCGTAAGGCCAAACTAATTATCTCTGCTGAAATGTCCCTCTTGTGTGACAGAGCTTGAATGCTCTCTCCCTCTCCTGATAAATCTCTTCTGCAAAAGCTTTGTTGGAAGAAAAATACATTCACTAGTCTAGGTTGATTTTGGGCTACAAATTATACGGTGGTTAATGGACCTCAAACTGCCATTAAAGTATTTTGCTACATTTGTTTATCACTGCTTGGCCACAGTGGGTAACAGTTGATCTGAATGAACGATAACTTTGACATTAAAGACTGCACACCACAAGGTCTTCCTGCTCTGCCTTTTAGTTCTTTACAGTCAATTTCTAATGTAAATAGTTCACCATGGTAAACAAAATCCCTGCTATGAAGTTTGTTTCCCTTTGGGATAGAAAACCCAAAACAGAATTGTGCTCATTTACTCGTCAACCTCTGTTCTTTCTGGTTCCCGATTGATTGTTTTTTTTTTTCATGGGGTTTTACAAAAAGAAAAACAGAGTTAAGATAGAATAAAATTGCTTAAACTGGTTTCTTGTCTGTTTTACCCATTCACTTATAGTAGAAACATTTCAAAATATTGGTATTTACCATAAATATCCCTTCATTCTTAATTTCTCATTGTGTTTTCTTGGGATACGGTGCCAATTGGGCACAAAGCCGATTTGTACCACAAAAGCCTGAAATGTCTATAGTGTATGACCAACAAAATCCCTTAAATTCCTCAATTCCCCAGGAACACAATAAAGAATAGCTGAGAAAATCCTTAATCCCCACAAAGCACAGAAGCTCTTTTCTCTCCTTTTCTGAGGAATTTTACAGATGTTTTGACATATAGTGATATCAAAGTCTGAGCCAATGTACTCCCTAAATAAAAGCAAACAACATTAAATATGTTCCAGAAAATTAAATCCCTGAAAATTGTCATTAATGTATGAAGGTGTTTGACAACAATGGGATTGAATAGCAAAATTCCCCATTTTCTAAATGTGTTTATAAATTTAGTTTGATTTATTTTATCTGAAGTGAAACCCTGTCAAAAGTCCATTTGCAACTTAAGAAAATATATAATGTATATAATATTAGTATTAAATATGAAGCATGTTATTATATTTGACCTCTTATTCATTTATAAAATAAGATATAAATTATAATACTTGAGATACATGAGAGTACAATTTAAGGATTGTTGTGGAATTATAGCATAATGTAATGAAACAGATCAAAGAAAAAAAAAGAAGTTGGGGTTGTATTACAAAAATACAGTGGTATCCCGAGATACGAATGCTTCGAGTTATGAAATGTTCGATATATGAAAGGATATATTTTCCGGATGTCTGTGTGACGTCGCGCTGCGCTTCCGCATCCTTGCGATCCTTTCTTCCTTTGAAGAAAGTGTGCTTTAAGGGGCTGATATGTTATTTAAAACACTTTAAATCAGTTTTAAATCGAGCGAAATATTATGCATAGACTACCAATAATGTACTGGAACAAATGTTAGAGTCAAGGTGTTAAAAGGTGTGAAAAAAATACTGTTTATAACGTGGAAAGTGGTGTTCTGTAGCGCATGTTAAAGAAACCACGTGACTTGCTCTCTCCATCCCTTCTCACAGGCTTGGTGTTCTCTACGCTTGTCCTTGAAACCGTGTTGGTGTTAGTAATTCGTGAAATATCTCGAGAAAGTTAACTTTTATATGTAGTGCTGTAATGTTTTCTGCCATCCGTTCCACCTCCTCTGACATATCGCCTCAGTCTCAAGGTAAGATTTCACATTTGTGTGCATACTACGTATTTTGTTTATGTTTTATTACCATTTATTACATTAGCAATGTGTATATTTAAGGATTGAAGAAACGTTACTTGATTTTTCTCTGGTTTTACAGAGAAACTTATACGGTTGTTTCTGAGAGCCGTTGTACGGATTAGGCGTTTTACATGTAAAACTTGCTCCGAGATACGAACGTCACCCTGGAACAGAATGATTTCGTATCTCGGGGTACCACTGTATATCAAGCATTGCCACAAAAAGCTGTTTTCACAATATTTTGTTAGAGCAAATTGCAATGTAGTAAAAAATGCTCAAAAAGGCCTGGGAATTCTATAGGTTAAAGAAAATTACAATATTGCAATCCTTTTTTTTGCCTGAAATAAGTCTGACCATGAAGAAAATTTCATTTTTCAAGCAAACTTGAGTGCACACATTCTTATTCAGCATTTTACCACTATGAACATCTGCTGATCATCCTCAGGGACATCTTTAGAAGCAGATGTGTGTCTGTTTGCAAAGGTACTTTCCTTTGTTGTTGAAGATGATTCTAGCATTGGTTATGAGTACTATAAAACAAAAGTCTACATCAATAACTACTAGATGTGATACTTGGTAATCTACAAGCTGGTTGGGTTTAATAATATCAGATTTAAAAACATGCTCAGGTATTTTAATGGAAAATGCATGTGATTTTATGTAATGACGTTGCTCGGTGTAAGATTTCTTTGATTTTATTCTCTGTTTGAAGGCTATGCTGCAGCCTGACAGACCTGCAGTTAAGTCACTGTACTGTATACTGTTTTCAATCCAAGGTCAATCATGTATAGTGTTGTTATAGTGTCTGAAGGAGAGAGGAAATCAAATAAACTTGTATTTGTTTCATAATTTTCCAAATTGGGAGCTTTCCAGTGTTCAAGCCAGTCCAAGCTGCATTGAAATGACATTGGGCAGTAGAGAAGAGGTATTTTCTTTATTTTCATTTGTGAAAGTGAAAAATTGTGACCCTCATACAGTTATGTCATAGGTTTGATAACTATCATCTGAAGGAGCCGTATTCCTATATAAGAAAGAGCATTAAGCATCAATGGTTTCTCTCTATGTTTAAATTGCAGTGCATTTTAAGTTTCCTACAAAATTCTGAGGCAATAAGTAAACAACGTTTTCCCCGTTCATGACAGACAGGCAAACTGTACATCTGCCAAATTAATGCTAGGATTCCAACATTACCCAGTTAACTAAATAAGGAATAATCAGCTATAGAAGAAACGAAGACTTAAAAGTGTGATAGCCTTTAATTTGCATAATCATGAAAATGCTGGAGATCCTTCTAAATGTGAATATGAATGTAAGAGGATTGAAGCTCACGGTGCTCTGCAAATGAAAAACCATCAGAGGATGTCGATGCTCTGGATGGATTTAATCTGATATCCAAGCAATCCATTCAAACCAAATTGTCAACATTGTGGATAAACTATACGAGAAATGTCACAGAGTTTAACATTTACTGCTGATTTAATCTGATTTCAATCAAAATACAATAGAAAAATCTCATGACAAAAGATGTCTATTAAAATGTGATTTTAAGACTTTCCATCACTATATGATAACATTAAGGGCTTGATATATTGAGCAAAAAAGTGAACAAATAATAAGATCCTTTGATTTGTACGTTTTGCAAAATACACTGTGCCTTTTAAAAATGGTAAAATACAAAAAGCAGTGTCTTACCTTCCATGACATAAACAAGGGAGCCCACGTCGCCTTCTTTAATAATACAGCTGTTTTTGTCATAATCCACTGGATACATACAGTCTACAATCTCCTGGATCTGGGACATTTCAAGGTTCTTCATGAAGTCATTGTCCAAGATTGCAGACTTGATTAGATCTTTTGACCTGTAAAAATAGGAAAGATACATAATACCAAGTACAGGACTAAATATATTAAATGTAGAAACAGATGTGTGAGAAGGTAAACAGAAAGCTGATCATTGCAGATAATATGGTCATATATTAAAGCAATGATTCACTTGACAAAACTGCTATAAAATTACCCAAACCATCCCAGTCAATATTTGTTAGCTATATCTGCATGTTCACCTAGCTAAACCTACTACAATTGACCCAAGACCCTAAACATGAACTTGAGCGTGTATAACTTCAGAGGTTTGCAGAACAGCAGGGAGGGTGTTCTAGAAATCCGTTTGGCAAGTCATTATGCAATTCAGGTCATTATTTATGCAAATCCATTTAGTTCTGCTAATGACATTTAATTAGTCAAGTGATGGTGGATGGAAAACCTAGTTTGATGTGTTGGAGTGTGATCTTTAAATCTCATTATCACTGTTTATGACACTTCGAAGCCTTCCTCAACAAATAGCCTATCATTTTGACAGCGGATTCTCACTGTTGTGGATGTGAACATGCACCAGACTTCATATTTAGTTTCTAAAACGTTCACAAATGTTCACCTCTGAACTTCAGAGTGTTTACATTCCACAGGCATGCTCCATTAGGAACACTGAGATTTTTTTTTCTTCTTAGTTTTACAGAGTCTTCTGTACGTTACAAAGAAATCTCTCGCTGATATAGTTTACTTTGGTGAGTAGTAAGCATACTAGCTAAATCTGTTGATATTTCACTCACTGTAAACTATTTGCTTTTTAGACAACTGTAATTTGTGCAGCCAACAGCAAGCCACCGCTGGAAGGAGAGGAACGATGACTTGGATGAGAATGCAATCTAGAAGAAAATAGGAGCAAACTATGCAAATTGGTTTAGAGTATGGCGTGGTGTTTGAAGAGTGAAAATCGTTTTACATCTATTCTTTCATTTTGATGATTACTCTATTGGGATGATTTTATTCATTCCAAATATGTAAAAAGTGAGACTAATGATCAGAAAATGGCAAAAACATTAAGGGGAATCCTTGCTTTTTCAGATTTTCTCCTATGGCAGGGCAAATAATGTATTTTAAGATTCTTCAGAATCTTAACTACATATTTCCTGTGGCTCAGTCAGTAGAACATTGAGCTTGCAACACAAAGTTCATGGGTTCAAACCCGAGGGAAAGCAAGATCTGATGTAACAAAATGTGTTCATTCACTGAAGTCGCTTTGGATGTTTCTGCCAAAAATATAAATGTCATTTAAGAAGTACAACAGAACAAACAATAACCTTTCTCATCTTTAGTTAACCATTAAAAAACATTAAGAAAAACTATTTAAAATTACAACACAAGTTAATAATGGTTGATGCATATCTGTGTTCACTATCACCTTGTGATGATTTTGATAAAGCTCCAATTTACTTTCTTCTGCTTGAAATGTTGATATCTTCCAGTTCAAAGTCTGACTTTAGCTCAAACTTACATCTCATCAGTCTCTTTTCCACTTGAGAAGACTATGAATATTCCTAGCAATTGATCAATCAGAACAGTGTAACAGAATGAATAGTTACTCACGCCCCTTTAATGCAGCTCATTCATTCATTTTTCAACCCGCTTTCTCCCTTTTTGGGGGGTCACGGGGGTCTGCCGGTGCCTATTTCCAGCACCCATTGGGTGAGAGGGCACCAGTCCATCACAGTTTAATGCTCATCCGCTGCATTTATGTAAACTTTAAAACCACTTTAACAAAGAACAAAACAAAACCCTCTTTCTACTTCATGGTTTGTGTATCTGGTTTGTGAGGACTGTGTGGCATTTCTTTATGCCAGTCTGAATTTAAAAGGACCATGTAGAGGACCAGTAATATTTCACATGAATAAAGGCAGAGGAATCACAGTCCTCATTTATAGAAGTTAACCTCTACAGCATATTGTTGCTGGTGTCAATTTGAATTGTCTTTTCAGTAGGACATTCACGCCACACAGGTCAAAAAATTGCCCCCTATAAAAGGAAAAGTATGGTAGGGCACAAACAAAACTGAATTCGAGGAAGCCATAGACATGTGTATATGAAAGGATCCTATAAATAGGGCTCTGCTTCCCCTTCCATAATTTTCCTGAGAATAATTAACGATTGCACAGTATTTGAAAGCTTATTATATTAACAATGTTATCAGCAATTAAAGCTATTTACCTGCACAGCGGTAAATACACTTTTACACAGCGTTATGAACTGAGAAAACAAAAGTTTGTTGGTTTATCTTTATTAATACATGAACACAAAGTTTAGAACCTGAAATGTTTTGGAATAATACAAGTATGAAAAACTATAGTTTACTCAAAACAAGCTTTCACTTATTAGGCTGCTCAAAAATTAGAAGTGTCAAAAAGTGGCTTTTCATTTCCTTTTCATAATATTTAACTGTGTTACAGCCCAGGAATGTCTGAATGTTTCTCTTTAGTTTTCTTTCAATTTACTCATTTAAAATATTTCTCATCATCATCATTTACTCTCCCTCGTTATCACCTATCATCCTGACATCACTCTACGCCATTGGTTAGCTGACCAATTGGGACTCACTGTGGTATAAAACCAAGGAACTCTCTTTTGAGCTGAATAGGCCACATTAGCTGTTTTACGCATGACTAACCCATGTGACCCTTATGTAAAAGAAACTTTAGAATTTGTTTCGATTTGCTTACTCTCAGTATTGCTAATATTATAATCAACTTGATCTTTTGTGTGAATCTGTGTTTTTTTTTTTGTAGCTTGGTCTTGTTTTCCACTTTAAAGAGGAAGAGCAGTTTAAAACTAGATGGCTAAAGTGTGTACACAAACTTTGATGTTGGCTTCTAAAAACATTATGTATAGATTATCAATGATGTGTTTCAACAAAGGTCATAAACGTTATTTCTAACAAAATATGTTAATAAAGTGGAATTTGCTGTTCTGTTGCGCAAGTTAAAGAAACCCTCTGTGAAACAATGGTGTCTAAACAGTAGTTTCCACTTTGTAAATGTTAAGTTTAGGACACCTTGACTCTAACTTTTGTCATAGCACAGATCATACCCTTGACACCTCCTAAGAATTGCTCTCTCCATCCCTTCACGCAGACATCAAGTACTAATACTGTCTACGTATGTGCTTGGTTTTGTGTTGGTGCTCCTAATACGTGAATTAGGTATAACTCGAGAAAGTTAACTTTCAGGATAAAATTCAGGATATGAAAGCTACCCTGGAATGGATTAATTTTGTATTTCGAGGTATCACTGTATAAATAAACCAATTCCCATGTCAACTATCACGTCTGATTTTCTTAAGCCGAGATAGAGATATGCCAAGTTTGTTGCCCCTATAGGGGTAAGTGACATAATATAAAGTTGCCTTTGTCACTATACGTTATTTAAACCAAAACCAAACGTCTCTATTATATAGCAAAGCTGAGATAGAGCTCAAAATATTTGGTTGCTAGTGTAAACAATCTGAATGCTAGGGAGCTGTCAGTACTAAAAACGTTGTTACAATTTTAAAATTCATATTTCTGTGATGTTTCATATTGATGGTATTTTCGTTGTCTTTTCCTATTAAATTTCAAGGGTAAATATGTAACCCCTTCTAGAGCCTGTGGTTCAAATGCTTTTGCACAGTGATTGGTATATCCTTGCACAAACTGGTAACCCCCACAAGTGTCATGAATTCCTTCAAGTGTAATTCCTTTAGCTGTACCAGTCTGAAAAGACATAGCAACCAGAACCAGACCAATTATACAGCAGAAATCCTTTAAGTCGTACTTTTATGGTTATAAAGATATAATAAATAAATAACACTGTAAATAAATCTCACTTTGATTACATTTCTGATTGACTACAATTGCTTCATTAGCGCTCAAAACTCAAATGGTTAGTACCTACCATCCCCAAGAATAGTATGTAATAGGCTGCTTAAATGTGTATCAGCACATTTACTGATACTTGTGTTTCTTATTCCAAATAAAAATTATTTTAATTCCATTCCAAGCTCCGAGAAATACCACTGTGTATGAAATGTCCTAATAAACTGGTCTTGTCTAATGCAAAGTACAGCAAATACCGAAAGGCCAAAGACATTCTCATTTTAAAGCCATAACATCTGATCTCTGATATTTCAGACTTCATACAGCCCAAATGTCAGAGAAAAGTTCAGAAGAGACATTCAATCAAGACTTCAAAGTGCTCCAAAAAGCCTTTCATCATTTTAAATATATCAAGAGCCAAAACCAAATAGAAACAGAAATAAACAAGATTGCGGCAACACAATGAGACAGTCAAATGTTAAAAATATGCACCGAACAGAAAGGGACATGACACCAACTGATAACATTAACGTTTGTTTCATGGAAAATAAAAAGAATCTGTGAGTGCAGGGCAAAAAACATCAGAAATGTATTCCTCTTCTAAAAATATCATCTCCCTGACTACACAGATAATATAGAATGAACCTTGGACAGATTTTGAGCTTTTGTGTTGCAAATATGAATGTAGAGCTCAACTGGTTGACACAACAGCAAAGAAGCAAAGGAGGATTATTTTCTTTCAGAATCATCATACTGTAATAGTTCCTTGAAAACCACATCAGTGCAAGGTTAAGCAGAATGGAAGAAAAGGAAAACATCATCATTGCAACACAGTTCAGAAGGTCGTTCAATTCATAACAGGGCTGTGTTGTAAATGGGTACATCGTTGAGCTGTCAGATGCTCAGCAGATGGAGAGGAAACTCTGGAGAGAAAAAGAAAAATAGTGTTCCTGTGCTTCCAAAGCACTAGATGCATCGAGTGTGTTTGCATGTTCCTGACAGCAGGTCGAGAGACACAAAGATGCTTAACTGTTAAAGTCCTCTGGTAATGGCAGGGTCTATTTAAATTAAAGCACAGCAAGAAACACAACCATGGGTTGATGATTTCATGTTTGAGATCCGCTGCTGCTTAACGTCATGCTGCTTTGATAAACAAATTATGAGGTTAAACAAAGCAGGTACTATTATTCTGCAAAGTTTGGACACTTCACACATCATCATGCCCTCAGCAGGGATTTTTTTATTCCCTTTTCAGATGCTTTCATACGGAAACTTTCTCAGAGCATCATCAATGAGATTCTTCTGCAAATGTCAATGAATGGCATTTTGAACAGAATATAATGAGGTTGTTTCCTTAGTGAGGAAGGTTTCAGATCAGAGTTATTTCAGCTGCTCAATCAGCAAACCCCATGATATTGTCCTTCCTTTCAATATGTTACCATGGCAACTAAACAGAAAATACAAACAATGCACACACCTAAACCTAACCGGTACTCTATCAATTCTCAATGAGTCTGCTTCAATCACATAATTAAGATAACTTGATGATAAGTGAACATAATTGTTAAAGGTTTACATCACAATTTAAGATTATCATCACAAATCTAACATGTATATTAGCTTCTTATACATACATTCTTGTTTAAACCATGGACATTTACTTAAATTAACTGATTTTGTGAAATCTAACCTGAGCAGAATGTGGCTCTTCATTTGGTCAGTGAATGTCTGGGGTGGAAGTGTAATAATGAGTCAAATATTAAAACAAGGATAAACAAAAAGTGAGTTTGTGGTGTGCAGCTTTTGCATCCATTGAAACACTCTTGAAATATTCTGAAGCTACAGTGTGAAGCTACCACTAACAACAAAAACCACAACATAATTCTGATATTTATAGATAGATTAGATTAGATTTCACATTTTTACCTCATACTTTTATTTTACAATGTTTTTTTTTTAATCTACACTAATGTTATAACAGGAAACTGTACAGTTTCACATGTTTACACATTTTCTACTCAAGTGAAAGCAGAGATGAAAGTAGATATTTTAGGTCCAGCATCAGCTACATGTAATATTGCAACAAAAAAGTGTAGTTTTACATATTACCATTGGATCCAATTTAAATTGTATAACATACATTTGTAGCTTCACATAAAAGTGTTACTATGCATTTAATGTAACATGTATAACATCAAAACCTATTTCATCAAACTAAACTTCTGTTTTTTATTGAGCAGAAGCTCAGTGCTGTCATAGCATTGACGTCTATAGCATAAAAGAATGAATGTCTTAGCCTTAACCATTATGAACATCCAGGTTTGAATCTTGCTCAAGGTCATATGTTGATTCA